TATTTTTTCCAGTAGGCACACAGGGAAGTTGCTTGAGAAACTGTGACTTACGATTTTGGTTCTGGCGAAAAAAGTGTGTGATTTGATGTTTAAAGGCAAATTTGACTCGGGTCATTACAGTGTTATACAACTTTATCATAATCCCCAGGGTGTGAAAGGTACAAAAAGAAAAAGAAAAGGTGGAAACTGTGCGTAAAGAGACAACCAGAACGAAAAAAACGTGGGGAGCCATGGAACTAAAAAGTAAATAACAGTGATGGTGTTAAATGTGCTCTGGAAGTTCCTAAAAAAAACGCCTACTCTTTTGAATTGGGGTCGTTAGATTGGATTTGTTACTACTGCAAATCTATGAATTTAGTGTCAGAACAGACTAACAGGGACACGACACAAGTATTTTCTCCTTATGTTGTCACAAGGGGAAGGTAAAATTAGCTCCTTATCGACATTCTGAGTTCATAGAAAATCTTATCAACATGGACTACATAGGCTATAAATAAAATAAAAAAGAAACAAAAAAAAAACTATTTGAATAATATAAGATCTTACAACTCTGCATTTGCAATGGTGAGTTTATAAGTCTCACTTAGATGAATCATCATTCTGATAGTATAGGCCTATATAATTTTAAGATCCGGGGCTTCGTTTACCATCGGATTCGTTAATACCCTCTAACATTGAACCAAAGTATGCCCAACTTTATATTATAGCCTATACGACGTATACGCAGCTGTTACTTACAGAATGGGTCAAAGATCCGTGAAATGCGGCCAACTGCTGATGCGTGATTTAAATTACTATCTTTATTCCGCACAACGAATGTAATGAACAAGAAAACAACGAATGTAGGAATATAAAATAACAAATTATCTCCATAGCATAAGTAGCTTATTAGGTTATCAGCATTGTGCAGTTCATACACCAAAATAGGGAGATAATATTGATTTTGCCAAAATCGGGAGGGATGATTTAAATGTCGCCTTGATTTGAAAGAGATGATCGGAATAGTGCTAAAATCACAGATCACTGTCATGGCGACATTGTGATGAATGCATATTACATCAAATTACCCCATAATTGATTGACTCAATCATCACTAATTCTCCTACTTCCCATTTACCTAGGATACTGAAATTTGGTACACTGGTTCTTTAGACATGAAATAGGAAAATTAAGTAGTTTTTATCCTGATCTGAATTTTGGGCTCTGCCCCAGTGGCTCTGCAGTTTCCCATGTTAACTGTATGAGTATCTATACTTATTTAATACGCAAGCATGTTTCTTTAAAAACATTTTTCTCAGCTCGTGTGCATAGCAGAGAAAATCTACGCATTCTATTAGAAAGATAATTTCCTGTAGACGAGCAGAATCCCGTTATAAATTATAAGAGGCTCAAAAATAAGCACAAAAACTGAATATTTTTTTAAATTATAATGGGCCTAATGGGTTGCCATGCTGGTGACAAAATAAGTAATTAAAACAAATGGAAGACTGATACACAACCATCACATTCCATTTACAGCGTGGGGTGAAAATAGAGACGTCTGTAAATTACATTATTTTTGGTTGAGTTTTAGACCACTGGACGACCTCTAGTTAATATTTAAAAGGAATTAATGAATCTTAACAGCTGTTTCAATTAGACAAACAAGTTGATTCTATAACATTAAAAAGTTATAAGGTTTACCAACACGGTGCAGCGCTATTCGGGTGGCGTCGTCCTGTAATCCAGCTACTAGGAGGTCCCGAATTGTGGATATTTATAGGCATGCACTGTGGAACGATACTCCCTGGTGTGGATTAACGTCCCCACGAGTGAGTACTACGACTACCCTACCCGCAGTGCTATCCTGATAATTAGACCAATTCGTATATAACAAGGCCAAAAAAAATGGTTCGGATTCCACTATAAACTGTAGGTCCCTTAGTTGCCATTAGCTGTATGGGCTATTAATTAACAGCTGTGTCTAAGGAATGTCGGCCTTAGTCACTAACAAGACTACAAGATTGCGCCACTCATCCTACACTCATCTCCATTCATACTTGGCTTAAAATACCAGCTATGTATGGTCACCATTTCATAAAAAAGTATTAAAGTATTATTTTTTTTTGCAGCTTTATTACAACAGCTAATTTGAACTAGCAACATAAAGCTGTGATACAATATGAGAACTGTCAAAGTATATGTGTTTCAATAACCTACATAGTTCTAACTTATGTTTTGTAGGTAAGTTTGACACTGTTGAAGATAGGGTTGAAGGCATTAATAAAGGGGTATTGTCATTTTCAGATTGAAGTCTTTTTGTTTAAAGTGTCTACAAGGAAAAGCAAGCTACAACTTGTGAAAAGATCTTCTATGTTCACTATCTTATGTAAATACCCAGATATAATATTATGAAAATACAAGATATGCTATGTAAATATTTGGAACTAGCATAGATAGATATTCCTCTAAATCTTTTCTCCTATTTAAATCAAAAGTTCCTCTAAAGAACTACTGCTGATTCATCATGTCTTTTGTATTTTTATCTGTTATACTGGTTAACCTAACTTAATTTAGTTACTCCAGATTCCTGAAGGCTAGGCTAAAGGGGTGCTTGATTGAACATCTCTGGCTTACACATAACTTGAGTTAACAGTAAATTATGAATACTGTTCATAATTTGACAAACTATACAACTAGGTGGCGTTCGCAGAGGCATCCACAAAATTGAGCGGTTCATATTATATTGTTTCTGTCATACTGCAGTAAAAACAGTCGTTTTTAATGCATGCGTTGCAGGTCTAAAGTAGCATTTTTACTCTCTAGGAGTAAAAATAGTTTTTAGCCTCTATGGAGTAAAAATCAGTTGTTGTCAACTCAGTTGTAAATTTCGATTGTAAACGATTGCATGTATCGAAAATATGTATCGATTCGTGCTTCGTAATCATTTTAACATACAGTCTACAGTCTCTTCCCGTAGCATTTTAGTATTGCAGATACTTAATCCATTCCCACACTCAACACTGCTCACCTTTACTACTTCCTTCACCACCCCCTACGTCGTGGACCTGTTTCCCTCTCTTCCCATAGCATTTTAGGATTGCAGATACATTAATGTAATTGCCAAAGACAGTTCCCACACTCTGCACTGCTAGCCTTACTAATTGCTTCACCATTTCCTACGTCATAGACCTGTTTCCTTCCCTTCTCATACCATTTAAGTATTACAGATACATTTATCTATCTGCCCAAACGATTCCCCCACTCTGCACTGCCAGCCTTTAATAATTCCTTCACCACTTCCTCCGTCGTGGGGCCTGTTTCCTTCCCTTCTCATAACATTTTAGGATTGAAGATACATTATTCTAAATGCCACAGACGATTCTCACACTATGCTCATACTTTACTACTTCCTAAGCCACTTCCTACGTCGTGGACCTGTTTTCATCACTTTCCATATCATTATAGTATTTTAGATACGTAAATCTAATTGCCACAAACATTCCCCACACTGCTAGCCTTTACTACTTCTTTCACCATTTCCTATGTCGTGGGCATGCTTTCATCCCTTCTGATAGCATTTCAGCTTTGCAGATACATTAATCTAACTGCTACAAACGGTTTCCAGTTCCACACTCCATACTGCTCACCTTACTACTTCCTTCATCTCTTCCTACCTCGCGGACCTGTTTCCCTCTCTTCCCATAGCAATTTAAGATTGTAGATACCCTAATCTAATCGTCATAAACAGTTCCCACACTCCGGACTACTCACCTTTACTACTTCCTTCACCGCTTCCTTCGTCACGGACCATGTTTCCCTCCCAGCCTATAGCATTTTAGGATAACAGATACCTTAATCTAATCGTCATTAACAGTTCCCACACTCCGGACTACTCGCCTTTACCACTTCCTGCGCCGCGGACCTGTTTCCCTCCCTTCTCATAGCATTTTAGAATTGTAGATACCTTAATCTAATCGTCATAAAAAGTTCCCATACTCCGGACTGCTCGCCTTTACTACTTCCTTCACTACCTCCTACGTCACGGACCTGTTTCCCTCCCTTCCCAGAGCATCATAGGATTGCAAATACCTTAATCTAATGGTCATTAACAGATCCCACGCCCTTTACTACTTTAATCGTCATAAAAAGTTCCCATACTCCGGACTGCTCGCCTTTACTACTTCCTTCACTACTTCCTACGTCGCGGACCTGTTTCCTTCCCTTCCAATAGCATTTTAGGATTGCAGATACCTCAATCTAATCGTCATAAACAGTTCCCACACTCCGGACAGCTCGCCTTGACTACTTCCTTCACCACTTCCTACGTCGCGGACCTGTTTTCATCCCTTCCCATAGAGTTTTAGGAATGCAGACACCCTAATCTAATCGTCATAAACAGTTTCCACACTCCAGACTGCTCACCTTTACTACTTCCTTCACCACTTCCTACGTCACAGACCTCAAGCTAGTGTCGTCATTTGATTATATTTATGATCCATTCCGTTTCTGTTCTAATATCTGTGGAATAATGGAATATCAGCTATTTCTTTATTTACTGCATTCAAAAGTCAACAGCTGATCATATGTCTTTGTTTATGTGTCAAATACTGCTTCCATAAGGATTACATTGAAGCTTTGAGACCCAGTGGGGCGGATTCCTGAGAGACTTTTTTAACGCCATATAGATGTTGGCACTCACCAATATGGTCTTTATCACCATGCAAAATTTGAAAACGATTGATTCAGCCGTCTAGGAGGAGTTAGCGTATTACGAAATGCATAAGAGTCGACGTATAAGAGCTTCGCTCGCTCCGCTCAATAAAACAAATAAAAACTAATCTAAGAGGCTTGATGCAAAAAAAACCATTTGTGATAAAACTCTATACCATTCTTATATCTTATGAATAAATTGGAAACTTGCAAGACAAAGGGGAATAAGTAGGCCTACACATAGTATGATATGTTGTAACAACCCTTTGTCTTGAAAGGGTCAAAGTACTTTGCATGATAATACTTACATCCTTTAAAAGCCTTCAACACTGTCTGGCTATCTTGGGTGTGGTAGAACTCGTACACTGACTTGCCAATCAGCTGTTCTGGATCATAGCCCAAAAACTCAGCCATCCTAGAACACAAAGGATATGTTAATACTTCTAGTAGTTTACACAACGATCGCATAAAGATATTGTTAAAGACACGAGTAGACGAGTCTTTGCGAGTGTCTTAAAAACTTCTACAAGTGTCGTTAATACTATTTACGCAAGTAGAGTACACTACTTTACCTAAGAATTTTTTTAAATTACTAACAATCACTTCTCATAACTTCTAAGAGAGGTTTTGTTTTTGTTTATAACCTCTCAGTGCCATTGACAGTGATTCAACGAACCATTTACCAAACATAAATTACACCACTCATTAACAATTAAATTGGTCTAAAAACAGCTGATTAGTTGACGTTCAAAGAGTACAGTTTTACAACTTTTCTCTCAATCATGCCAGAGGTTAGTATGTCTCGCTTTGGGCCCAAGAGGTAGTAGCACCCCCCTTTGCCAACACAAGTTTTAATCATAAAATGAAAGTAGACATTTTACAAGTTGCATGCGTATCCGCAATCTAACAACGATAAGGCTCGTTACATTGTGATTACTTTAGATTGTTAATAAAATTACCTATATAGTAAATTAAAAAAGCAAACCATCAATTAAGGATAGGTACAATAACTTTAAATTTGACTTAGATACACATTTATATTTCCAAGGGTACATTTTCAAAAGTAAAATGGGTTTGTTTGTGAAAAAGTTTGAAAATTAAATTTACTAATTGTTTTAATTTAAGATGTAATAATTACAAACATTTAGTACTCAAAAAACACCTTAAACAACTATTTTTCTTACATTTTTTTCGGCAAACTCGTTAGTAACACCATAAAAGTTCATTTTTAGGGTTACCAACACCTTAAACAACTATTTTTCTTACATTTTTTTCGGCAAACTCGTTAGTAACACCATAAAAGTTCATTTTTAGGGTTACACCACTTTCTGTACACATGGTCATTGGGCATGAAATGAAATGAAAATCCTTCTTTATTGAGGCGAACTTAGGACCTCATGGTCCTTTCTTACAGTTAACCTCTAAAAAACTAATAATAACAACAAAATACTAACAAAAAATACAATCTTTTTTAACATAACAAGTTATAAAATAGCATAATTTACTTCATGTTCCCTAACATACAGTCACACACACATACACCCTCTGCTACATCTAGACCTATCGCACGCCATCCCGCCAAGAGCCACGGCCATCCGGTCAAGGTAATATCCTTTCAGTGTCACCCTCAGTAAGGATCGGTTCTATGTATTTAATGTGAAAAGGTATGGAGTTCCATAGGCGGCATGCTGTTAGTAAAAATGATATGTTATAAACAGTAGTTCTGTGATGAGGAATGAAAAGCGTAGACGAGCCAGAGCAGGTATCCCTTGTGTCTCTTTCATTCAAATATTTACAATTCTTTACAAGATAATTTGGAATTCCAAGATTGATAGCCGAATGAGTAATGAAAAGTATTAGTATTTTTCTGATGTAGTACTTTTCCTCTAATTTCAAAATTGATTCATTATTGTAATAGGGTGTGACATGGTCATCACACCTAAGATTGAACAGGCATCGAACACAATAATTTTGTACTCTGTGTAATTTTGTTGCCAAAGCCACAGTCATATCATTAACCACAGTTAATTATTAGCCATAAATAGTTTTTAATGACACTGTAAGCTATTAGTAAATTTGTGTAACACTCTTTGTCCAAAGTGTTTTACCACTCTCTTTATAAACTCACTGCCACTTGGTATTTTGTTCATTTCAAAGATAAAGGGCCAATATTTATGTTAATCAGGGATATATGTTAATCATATTAAAATGTAAAATAAAACTCAACGAATGTAAATAAAATCATAAGCAAAAACATGGCAGTAGTTTTATTTGCTAACCAATTATAATCTGATTCTCACCTGATTTGACAAAAGAATTACATTGGTAAATGGTGAGATATGAAACAAATTCATAAAAAACAATAGCCTACAAATAAAGATAAGGCGGAACAAGTAGTAACACAATACCTACCATTAAATATAGAGGTATATAGTCAACGATAAAATGCAAGCAGTGGCAGTGATCAGTCATGAGTGGGAACTGAAGTGAGGAGGATTCTACAGTTGCGCAATTTCAGATATTTCCCACATCATCTGTTGCTTGCGCCCCCCACAAAGAAAAACTCTTGCGCCCCTGGGCCCATTTTGAACCTCATTGGGTAAAATATTATAACTGTAAATTCTGGTTATAACCTCACATGTTCTTCAGCACATTGCAGCAATGGAAATTACGAGAACAGTTGCTTCTGAAAGTTAAACAGTTTTCTTCTTCCTTGCCCAATAATTCTCTCACACTGAATGAGTTGTTTGATTATGTTTATGATTATGAACATAAAATTTGAGAGTTTATTACACATAAATTTATTTTAAAAAGTTACCTAACTATGTAAGATTGCTATAAAGCTGATTTGTAGTGTTCATACTTTTCAGGAAAAAACAAAATAGTAAGGGAGACAAGGCTTGCCTTTGCAATCTTTTTGAGTAGGCAGAGGAAATAAAGGAGTACAGGCAGTGACGTAGCTAGAGGGGGGAGTCCGGACTCCCCCTCTCCGGTCTCAAATTTTATATTTTTTTGTTAAATTTAACGTAAAATTATATAATTATAATGTTCTTTATTTCTTATTACAGTATTATGGTACAAATTAAAAAGCCAACTGGTTAATCAGATTCAGATTTATAAATAGCCTATATACATATAGCAACTAACTAACTCATCTATGGTTTAGTATGAGAATGCAGAAGTACACAATCTCAAATCTGGGAACGCTACGCTATATCGGTGAAGTTAAGCAACGCAACTCTGAAGCCTATCGTCATCACCCACGCATCATCATTCATCCGCATAGATGAATAATATGTTAATCTGAGACATTTTAAGCTTTTTATTAAGTTTATTTATTGACAATTAGCCTTTATTAAATATTATTTAATAAAGGCCTGGACAAAGCATTGACGTTGGTGTTAATGTTCAATGTCAGGAGAGTAAAAAAATCCGTTTTGGGGCCTATATTATAAAAATTTTCCAGGCAAGTGCCCCCGCACCCCCCAGTCAGTCAACCCCCCCCCCATCTTGAAACCCTGGCTACAGTACTGGTACAGGGATCCATGAATTTAAATATAGTATCAGATTAACTACAAAATTGACACTGAGTCTGATCATTTGTTTGCTAAAACAAACCCTCACGCAAGCAAGCCTTCCCTTAAAAAAAACATTTATGTGCATTTTTTTAGAAAACAAAAGCAAAAAAACAGTTTTAAATCGCCATAAGATTTAGAACCTATGTTAATGAAAGTATTTAAACACGAGGGTGTCCGTAAATTCAGGTCTCCATCGAGCTAACGTTGCATCCAAGCAAGCTAGTTCAAATCTGAGGCCAACTCCTTTTTCCTTACTTACTTAGTATATCATGTTCTGCTATTAAATTCGTGTGATCTCAGTCGTCAACCGCTATTGAAGTCGATTGCCATTTTCCAGACATAAAACGAGTTTGGTATTTGGAGTGAGTTCGAAGATGGTATTAAACATTTGTACAATGTCCTTAATAGTTCAAGCTGACTTTTTCATCAGTTTAACTTGAGACAGCGACCAAAGTTATAAGGAGTTTGTATAGTGTGTTTGAACAAGAATGGTTATCGAACTAAAAGATGACATCCTATAAGACTATCAAAGACTACCATCACCACCAGCCCTGGAAGTCTGAAATACGCCGGTCAGCAAGCAAGGTGTACAATGCAGTTGTCTGCTTGCAATATTGAGCGGAGCTAGCATATTAATCCTACAATAAGCTTAATTGTCTACTTGCAGTATCCTAAGTTAATGGTTAATTTGATTCACATAAATGGAGTGCCTATTTGCAGTATCCAAACTCAATGGTATCCTTAGTTTACATTAATGGAATTCCTATTTGCAATACCTATTCAAAGTCTGCATTAATGGTACGTCTAGTTCACTTAAATGGATGTCTACTTGCAGTATCCCAGTATCCAAACTCAATGGTAGGCCTATATTTAGTTCACAAAAATGGAATGGGTATTTGGAGTATTGAAAGTCAATAGGGCATAAGCCTAATTCTGGCGACCCTATTCATTTTGTAGTAAATTATGCTTAAAGATATGAATCCGATTCTTCATCCCTTTTTCTCAGAATTTGTAATGTGCTACTGTATTTTAGATGATTCGATGTTGCGACTCTTGTTTACCTTTTTATTGTTATCTTGCAAATAATGTCATGGCCATATAATTGACAAATAATTAACCCATAAGGCCCATGTTAAATTTTTAAAAGTTTAAATTCAGGTAGGTAGGTAGAAAAGCTTTGTGGTCCGATTTGTACCATTTCAGATCCATACCTTCCCATGGTTGGTTACTATGACTGTGCTAAATTTCGTGCAGATCGCTTTGGCCGTTCAGGAGGAATATTTGTAAAACAAAAGCAAGAGAGAAGTATAAGAGCTTCGCTCCGCTCAATAAATTCATTCACTGCTTTGATAGAAACTGTTGAACACCCACTTATGGCCCTGTTGTTCAAATATGTATCAGCTTACTACAAACTTCATAAGCCACTAATGCACATTTTCTACTTCAAAATACTTACCTGCAGGCACATCTGTCAACAGGAAACTGTTATCAACAGGGATTTACATTTCTACAAAAACCTAATAACTGAATGCAACCAAAAGCACATATCTACTGAGTGTTTCAATGCACAATCTGGCATAACAGGTATGGCAGGGTTTTCCCAATCATCCTCTAGGACCTTTTTTTTTTTAAATCAGTAAATGTGTAACATGTTACATAGCTGTATAAAAACAACTCTTAGCCTAGCCACTAAAGGTGCGTTTTCCACCAACTTCAGAAACCGTGCTGCGTCCTACGTGATTAAGTTAATGATCCCAGTGCGGTTTAAGTAGGACGTACGTAGGACACAGTGCAAAAGTGTTTTCCAGAAATCCCCCACTACGTTGAGTGACCAGCAAATTCGCGGTTCTCGAAGTAGCGTTCTGCTTTAAATTGGAGAAAGAAGAGTCTTGCTTTTATGTTGATGGTGGAAGAGGAAGAGGAAGAGATGGACAAAGATGTGGACACAGCCCCAGCTTTGCTGTCTAAAAGTAAAAACTCGAAAAAGTGGTGAACTGTTTGAATTTAGGAGCTATGAGGGTGATTTTAGTATTCTTATCAATAGCCACTTGATGGAAAATAGGTATAATACATGGGTATTTTTAATTTTCTGCTCTATTTATCTGAAGTGTAACTCACTTGTCGTCTGCATAGGTGAACTTCATGTCGAGGGAGTGTTTGCTGAGGAAGGTCTGATAGCCCAGAGGTATTTCTATGTTGGCAGGGTGAGGTATTGGCTCTCCTATAGCTACTAGACACAGTTGTGAGCCAGGTGATGACCCTGTGTCTATACCTTCATCACTCGATGAGCCATTGTCACTCTGAGTGTCACTGCTCACCATGTGTCCAGTGCAGTGAATCACCTGAAACAATAACACAACCCTACAACAAATGTAACAACCATCGTGCTATTATGACTAATTGGTCCTAGCCATGGTCGTAGACTCTAAATGTATGAAAAGGATATTGCAATAAAGAAGAAAAAATACGTTGGGCTCACTTGACAAATTCTTTCTGTATGTGTTAGCTTATGGATTGAAAGGATTTAGTCTGATGCATGTCTGGTATTGTGATAGTGTAGGTCTTTATGTATGGTTTGTTGGGAGGCTATTGCATGGGGAATGGTTTGATGGATGTGGATTGACACTACAGTTAGTATTTTTTGTTCTTTGAAAGGTCGACAGAAGCTTCCTTGTTGCCCTTCGCTGCAACTGTTCCAATATTCGTTTCCTCCAAATAACATAGGGGACGGAAGAAAGTTTTTGCATAGTTGGTCAAGGTGATGTTTCCTTGTTAATTTGGAGTCAATGGTTAGGCCAAAAGAACATTGTCTCTTTTGTCTTTTCCAGGCCAGTTAGGGTTATGGCTGTTGTTGAAAATCAGTTTTATGTTAGTTAAGGGAAATGAAAATCTGAAATGCCTGTTAAAGAGTATGCTGATGACACAGTCTTCATTCTGACAGTGGCATCCCACAGGGGCTAGTATTGGGACCTACTTCTGACATACAACCTACCAGAAAATCTGCAATGCCCCTGTTACACACTATGCAGAAGACACAATTCTCACTCTTTTCAAGAGATAATTTTCTGGAGTACACTAAGAAACCTTATACACAAGAATGAAGCCAACAATAATTAATAGGTCAAGGCCATTCAGAAAGTTAAAGAACTTCTAGGACATGGCAACAATGCCTCTGACCCGTTTGAAAAAAGTGTGGTAAAGTAAAATGATAATATTTTTTAGACAAACAAATGTATGTATTTAAGATGCTTCACTAAAGATTGTACTATCAATGTTATGTTTGTGGTAACCTTTAACTAGACTACCTTGTAAGTGGCTGACTTGAGATTAACATTCCTGCCTTTGCCGGTCAAGGTACATTTCATGCGGAGGAAGAATGTCCTCTGGAGAGACTCAATGTCTTTGCCCGTGAGGATCTCCTTCACCTCACTGTGGTCACAGGGATGACTGACTTCATAGATGCTCTGGCCCATCAGATCAATCTGGCAAACAATCACAAACATGTTAAAAATTACAATTCTTGAAAGTAAGCCCAAGATTGTAGAGGCTAGTCACAGAGGTGACTGATTTCATAGTTGCTCTGGTCTATCAGGTTAATCTGGCAAACAATCACAAACATGTTAACAAATACAATTCTTGTAAGTAAGCCCAAGACAGTAGAGGCTAGTCACAAGGGTGACTGATTTCATAGTTGCTCTGGTCTATCAGATTAATCTGGCAAACAATCACAAACATGTTAACAAATACAATTCTTGTAAGTAAGCCCAAGATAGTAGAGGCTAGTCACAAGGGTGACTGATTTCATAGATGGTCTGGTCCATCAGATCAATCTGGCAAACAACCACAAACATGTTAACAATTACAATTATTGTAAGTAAGCCCAAGATAGTAGAGGCTAGTCACAAGGGTGACTGACTTCATAGATGCTCTGGTCCATCAGATCAATCTGGCAAACAACCACAATCACAATTACAGTAAACCTTCGATAGTTCGTCACTTGATAGTTCAACACTCCTTGTAGTTTGACACGGGCTGAGCTATTTTGTCAAGTGATATTTAATGGTTACTATTGTGATGTAAACTGACTTGAAAATTAATTTGTCACACATTAATTTGTTACACACTCAAAGCTTCATTTTTATGTGTCATATGCCGATATTTGTATTTGGTAAACGGGCTTAACCGTTTACAGAAAGTTTGATTGCATCAATTTGTTGGTAGCAAGCATTGCAGGAGGTCTACTTTCCACTGAATCGGTTACTTTTGACCTTCTGGCACTGTTGACTCAGCGAAACTGAACATGTACTTTATCGTATTTTGTCATATTAAAACTGCTGTTGCATAAGGTCAAAATCCCAATGTGTTTATCGCTTTATATTAACAGAGACTACGTTTTCAGCACTGACTGTATTATTTGACTCAATGAGAATTTTGACCTTCAAACACTACACACATTGTAGTTTTTGACCTACTGGCACAAGTATAAATTATTTGACCTAGCGAACATTTGACTTCCAGCAACATTCCCTTATTTAATATAGACAAATTAAATTTAAAAATTATTCATACAAAGTGTCCTGGAACTCTCTGGAACCCTTTTGTGTATTTTGTTCCTTAGATCAAAACAATGCAAAAACAACATGTAAAAATGTGTCTAAAATGCTTGGTTTTCTGTCTGTGTGTATACACAAAACATAAAACATGAAACACAGAAAACCCCAAAAAGGAAGAAAATTAATGACTTAATGAATTCCTATTGACTAATGAATTAATGGCCCAATCAAACGATTGTGGCGAAGACACCAGAAGTAAGAAGTAAGTAAGTATGTACGTATGATTTTACTGATCACCACTTGGTATTTGAACACTCCTTTAATGGTGAAGAATTTTGCAAACTTTCTAACAATCATATTTGACTAAACAAACAAAATAAATCAAAATTATATTTAAAAAAAAAAAAAAATTGAGTTCAGACAATCAAGATTCTATACCAATCTTACCTTATGTCCCACATATTAATCCAACGAATACAATAAATATTTATGTCACATTATATTGACGAAGGACTAAAAAATGTAGTCTATTGAATTGCAAATCACATACAATCTGAGTATGTGACCAGCATTGAGCCACTCCACATTAGTTCTAAAGCACTTTAAGTGCTAACATAGCTATGTAATTGATTTAATCATCGTATATCAAAGGCAGTGGATGAAAATATTGGAAAAATTATTTGAAGAGACTTGAACAAAATTTAAAAATTGAAAAAATGTTATACTATAACTAGTATAAAGTAAATAAATAATAACATTAATATGATGCATGCTCACCTGTGAGAGACCGAGATAGTCTTGCACATTCTCTGAGAGAAAGACAATGTCTCCATCACCTGAGACAACCAACAGAAACCCTTCCAGAGCCTTGAGAAACAGGCCATCGTACATCTCAGGACTTGGCTTTACTGGCTCTTCCTTCACTTCCATTGGAACTGGAATATACAGTACATTTTAATATGGTAGCAAGCACAGTAGCGATCTGTAGATTAAAATTAACTTTGTATGTAGAAGCCATACACGTTTTAATTCAAAACAACCCAAAACACAATAATAAAACAACATTAGCTTCATTATCCTTGTTGTAGATTGTAAAAATAATTTATCATGTATACAGTAAACTGCGCTTTCAACGACACTCTGTTAAACTAAACCCTGGGTTAACAAAGACAATAATAAAAAAATCAGCTCAATTGAAAAATTACCAAGGCTATTGGAACTGGGCGCCATGGGTATCAGGCAGGGGTACAGCCATGGTCGCGGCAAATGCTATGAAGAAAAAGTTCAGAAATAACTGTCTATTATTGCTGAAAATCGGTCTACAGGAAACCACCTAAAATCACGATTAAAAATAGCGGCTTTTCCCAACATTGGGCAAATTTGAAAAAAAGATACCACATGCATTTTTTATCCTTTTTCGAGATATTGACTTGGGACGGCCGCCCATGTTTATTGGGTAATCCTCACTTCATTTTGATAGGGAACTCATTTTTGGCCACCATCTTGGATCCACCATATTGAATATAAATTAAAAAATTTAAATGTAATGACAATGTTGTGACACATCATTATAGACTAGATTTTCACGCTGATTTCAATGCCAAAATCCGTTTTTAAATATCTATTTACGTTTTGAAGATATAGTCAAACAACAACTCTACCCCATATATTTTATAAGAACATTTTTCTTATATCTCCAGTTCTTATCAACGTTTGCAATTCGTTCTAGCCTTTAAATATTCTGTGATGTAAGGGCTTTAATTTGACATATTGATCATTCAAATCGAACAAGTAAGCGACGAGCTAAAAATTCCAACACAATAATAAATTTAACTTTTTAGAAGTTTTTATCAAAAGAATTATATCTCGGGTTTTTAATACGTCACCAAGTAATTTCTGGTCTTGAATTACTTAGTAAATGTTTGACTTTAATTGTATTAATCCCTAAATAAAATCTGACAAATCTGAAGTGTGTCGTGGACCTTCATTTAACATTAAATTATTTTTATTTAGAAATTTGACTTTGGTTTAAGACATTTATCCCCAATTATAAATAACTACCAATAAGTAATATTTAGCTAAAATAAAAGTCAATACTTTGACGAATTATTTAAGACCATAAAGAATTTTGGGAGTAATTTATAATTGGGCATATATGACGACTTTAACTAAAGAAAAATTTCAAAATAAAAATAATTTATGTTAAATGAAAATGAAGGTACACGGCTCATATTAAATTTGTCAGATTTTATTAAATGATTAATAAAATTATAACCAAACAATAAATGAGTAATTCGAGACCAGAAAGAACTTGGTGACATATTAAAAACTCGGAATATAAATCTTTTAATAAAAAAATATTTATAAAAAGTTAAATTCAATATTGTTTGGGGATCATAGCTTGTCTCTTACACGTTCGATTTTTAATGATCAATAGCTCAAATGAAAGCCCTTACATCACAGAATATTTTATGGCTAGAACAAACTGCAAGCGTTAATACGAACTGGCGATATAAGAAAAATAATCTTAAAATAGTCAAAGTACGAAATGTCCATAAGAAATGTATGAGGGAGAGTTTTCGTTTGAATATATCTCCAAAACGTAAACAGATAATTATAAACAGATTTTGGCATTGAAATCAGGGTGAAAAATCTAGTTTATAAAGATGTGTCACAATGTTATCATTACATTTAATTTTTAAAATTTATATCCAATTTTATTTATATAGATATGGCGGATCAAAGTTGGCGGCCAAAAATTAGTTCCCAATCGAAATGAAGTACTGACCACCCAATAAACATCGGCGGTCGTCCAAAGTCAATATCTAGAAAAAATTTGCATACAAAATGCATGTTGCATCTTTTTTCCAAAATGTGTCCAATGTTGGGAAAAGCCGCCATTTATAATCGTGATTTTAAAGGAAGTTTCCTGTGGACCAATTTTTGGCAACTTTCAGTATGTCACTCTTCATACCCAACACTACAAAATAAAACCATAAAACGTTTTCTTGCAATTTTTTTAAGGTTATATCCTATATTTCTCTGACTAATAAGAATAACATGGGAATTTTAAATTTAAATTTTGTTTATTTATCTCCTTAACTGTTAATCTTAGGCATACAACAATATTCAATATACAAAATTATTTACTTTTTTAAGCTCTACAAAATGGTCTGGAAATAAATTGTGAAATTTGATTTTTTTAGAGTCAAAAATGGGAAAAACAAATTTTTACCCCATAAAACCTCGTCCCCATAGTCCGATCATGCTGGTTCGCAAACCCCTTCGAATAAACGTAGGTTTACACATTTCTAGCAAATTTCATCAAAATCGGATAATTTTTGCTCAAGTTATTGCACTAACGGACACACATATACATTTGAACGGAGTGTGTTTTTGGCCTTTGGGGACCTCAAAACGAAAAAGTAAATTGGTCGCGGGTCCAGGTCTTACCATGAGTACTACGGTAATAGCTTATTCCCTATATGGGAAATTTGCTAAAACAAAAAAAAATTTATCCAGAACAGCCTTGCCTCTTTATTTAGGTTTATCTGGGTTTTACTATCCCATATTAATTTATGTAACTAATGTACATAACATATTAATAAGCATAAAAATAAATTAATAGGCTAGTCATATAGTGGTGTTTCCAGATTATTCACAAGTGCTTCTTAACACAAACTTATCAACAATCATGATTTCCAAATTGCATATGCAAAAAATTTCAGAATATGTTTAAACTTAGTTAAAGAGTTTTATATTTAAAATGAGGAAACTTGTGTTTCAAAACTCGTTCTAAACTAGACTAATCTATTCCTACATTAGGGGCTAATTTGCATTAGATGGACTCACTTCTTATCTAGCCTTGATATCAACTCTATAGCTTAGCTTAGAGAATCCATTATTACTTATATGATCAGTCACCATCGCTTTATTTTTGTCATCACAATATTTGTCATTCCACTTGTTTTTAGGTGAAATAATATTACCGTTCAGATTTATTACTCAAAATAATGTTTATTATATAGGCCTAAGACAACACAACTGTGTGGAAATAGTTACACATTATATTTTTCCCACAGTTACTAAAAAGCATATATATAGTTATTTGTGTAACTAGTGTGCAAAGTGGCACTTTGCTGCACATGAGAGAAATGTTAACGCACCAGCCGCAGGTGGGTGTGGAAAGCTTCTTGAGTGCAGCAAAGGCACTTTGCACTCGCCTTTCTGCATTAAATTTTGCTACAGTTACTATAAAGCTTATAAATAATTAGTCTTTCAAAGACTATACAACACATTTTTAGGTTAGGTTAAATCCAAGCGTTGAAAGAAATGGGAAACGCTGCAACAACTGATCGTAGTTGTAGTATCTATAAGTGTTGCCAACTTATTTTCAAGGGTACATGTATTAGATGCCTAATAAAAGCACACTGTTTTGTGTTGTATGGTTGGAATACTAGGGAAACGGAGAACCGGCCACCTCTGGCCCTAATCCGCATATAAAAGTTAGGTTAGGTTGGTTAGGTTATGTTGAGTTAGATTATATAAATATGTCCCCTGAATTTACGACCAGTGGCCGGGACCCCTACACTCGGAATACTGGAATGTGCCAAAAATGAGTGCTGCAAAAGTAAGTAAATGCAGCAATTTTCTACTTTCTGTGCAATAATTAGTGCAAGGAAGCCCACTTTGTCAGGCAACTGTAGAAAAAAGGATTTTTCAATTTAATATTGTTTAATGCAATACTGTTGTAGCAATATATGTGTTTTAGGCTAACTGTGGGGGTTTAATTTTTGGGTTGCGTGGCGAGCATGATGCTTAATTTACAATTTATGGGTAGCTTGTTTCTCCAACAATGTTTCATATGATTTGTAAACCTAGCAAATAAAAAAGGAGAGGAAGGTAATATACAAAAACGGGAGCTACAGGGTAAAGGGGAGTTTAGGCAGGAGAAATCACCATTGATTTGGCATCTCAGGGTAATAAGGACTCTCAAGAAGTTTCTTCACTTCTGATGGCCAGTTTATCACAGAGGCCTTGTCTAGCCCTGCTACTGTGCTGGCTGGCAGAGGCAACGCATGTGCAAGGAGTAGGGCAAGTGAGCTATGATGTGAAAACTTACTTGTATTATCAATCAGGGAGCGAACTCTCAAGAAGCTAATGGCCAGTCGCATAACAGAGGCCTTGTCTAGCCCTGCTACTGTGCTGGCTGGCAGAGGCAACGCATGTGCAAGGAGTAGGGCAAGTGAGCTATGATGTGAACACTTACTCGTATTATCAATCAGGGAGCGAACTCTCAAGAAACTAATGGCCAGTCGCATAACAGAGGCCTTGTCTAGCCCTGCTACTGTGCTGGCTGGCAGAGGCAAGGCATGTGCTAGGTGTAGGACAAGTGAGCTATGATGTGAACACTTACTTGTATTATCAATCAGGGAGCGAACTCTCAAGAAACTAATGGCCAGTCGCATAACAGAGGCCTTGTCTAGCCCTGCTACTGTGCTGGCTGGCAGAGGCAAGGCATGTGCCAGGAGTAGGGCAAGTGAGCTATGATGTGAACACTTACTTGTATTATCAATCAGGGAGCGAACTCTCAAGAAGCTAATGGCCAGTCGCATAACAGAGGCCTTGTCTAGCCCTGCTACTGTGCTGGCTGGCAGAGGCAAGGCATGTGCCAGGAGTAGGGCAAGTGAGCTATGATGTGAACACTTACTTGTATTATCAATCAGGGAGCGAACTCTCAAGAAACTAATGGCCAGTCGCATAACAGAGGCCTTGTCTAGCCCTGCTACTGTGCTGGCTGGCAGAGGCACGGCATGTGATAGGTAGTGAGCTATGATGTGAACACTTACTTGTATTATCAATCAGGGAGCGAACTCTCAAGAAACTAATGGCCAGTCGCATAACAGAGGCGATACTTGTCTAGCCCTGCTACTGTGCTGGCTGGCAGAGGCAAGGAATGTGCTAGGTGTAGGACAAGTGAGCTATGATGTGAACACTTACTTGTATTATCAATCAGGGAGCGAACTCTCAAGAGGCTATTGGGCAGTCACATAACAGAGGCGATACTTGTCTAGCCCTGCTACTGTGCTGGCTGGCAGAGGCAAGGCATGTGCTAGGGGTAGGGCAAGTGAGCTATGATGTGAACACTTACTTGTATTATCAATCAGCGAGCGAACTCTCAAGAAGCTAATGGCCAGTCGCATAACAGAGGCCTTGTCTAGCCCTGCTACTGTGCTGGCTGGCAGAGGCAAGGCATGTGCTAGATCTGTGAAGATCACTGACTCTTTGCTACGCCGACACCTTGCTGCATCTCGAGATTTTTCCTTACGTCGCTCCGAGTTCCTGGAATAACATGAAGCATTTCATTTTATAAACCTATCACAGTGGATGTCTCCTTAATATTTGTACGGTTTTTAGTAAACTGCCACATAAACTAATATGGGATGCTAAAATGGGGTGCTGTTCAATATTGCAAAATCTTAAGATATATTTACTGAGGTAGGTTATAAGTGCCACATTTATGTTTTCAGGCAAAGAAGCAAAATAAACTTAACTTGTAATTCACAACTAGTTTATTATAATAAGTTTTAACAAGTTATATGTTACAAACAAAAACTGCTAAATACTTTTATTGGTTGGATCAAACTGTACCTTATAACATTAAAAAGTAAGTAAAATGGTTTATGAACCCATAAAAAATTAAAACGGGTAAATTAGACTTGGCATTTTGATCTATCATACACAAAGAATCCTCACAACACTTATTCACCTATCAACATTCTTAACAAACTACAAACTACAATACAACTTTTATGACTGATAGATATCTGTTCATAAAATGAACATATATTGTCTACATTTTATTTTATAAAATACTCGTTCTAGACATGACAGTGTCAGGTTGTTTTTATGATGGAAGTTAATTTGTGTGCTCATGCTTGAACGGATATATTTTACTAAAAAAACACTGATACATTAGGATGATGATTACCAGATAAACAAATGTTTTGACATAAACCTGATACCCCAAGCAACATGAATGATTAATGATGAGTTAATTGCAAGTTTAAAACTCAACAAAGTGGAACTGAGAGTGCGCTGGCCTGAGATTGATACGACCTTGCTACAATTGACAAATCATGATAGCAGCAATTCTTCCTCCAATCTAACACTGATATATAGCAAAAAATTGACCATCACCACAACAGACGCCAAGCCACATACTTGGCCGCAATACTTGAAAAAATACTCTTTGGTTGTACTTGGTAGAAGATGTAAAAAAGAGGTTACTGACAATGTGATGTTGTTCAGATGATTTTTTCCCCTTAACTTTGAATAATAATTGAATCCTTAATGAAAGTTTTAGTAAAGGTTTCATGGATGTAGTCATATTCTTCTAAAATTGCTTGACTTTTATGAAAACATATATTTAACGTACTTGCCGTACCAGTTTTATTTAGCCTTAGGGGTTTCCTAAGCAATATATCACAAAGTTTATCAATGTTTCCTACTAAAATTGGTAGCACCTCGTTCATCGTTGGTAGGAATCTTCATCTTGTGGGCGTTTTTCATTATATAGGCCAAGAACGATACTGAATTCTTTAAAAACATTATACCCATTTTTTCTACTTGGTGGTGTTTTATGACTTTTCTATGTTTCAATAGTTTGCAAATCGGTTCATTCAAGGATATACACAAGAAATACAGTACTGTGTCAATTAATTTGTCTTATTTGGTAAATTATATCCAACTGTCCAAGAGTTTAGATTTTTTTTACTATAATATGTGCGCAAACCCAAACAGTAAATATTTAATTTCAACCAACTCAGGGTTTATATGATTTATAGATGCTTTCCTTGAATAGCAAAAATAAATATTAACAGCAATTAAATTATCCAACTTATCATAATGTAAACAAATATGTTCTTCATAAGGATACTATGGGAACCTTAAAAGCCACTATGGCAGAGCCCATGGGACTCTTTAAAAAAATTAAGGCCAGTTTGCTAATCTACGCGACACGCTCTTTTCAATGAGACGTGAATGGTCAAAATGGGCAGAGGAGTTCAAAGGACAAATAATTTCTTGTTAGCGTATTAATTATATAGAAGATTCTTATGGAGAATAAATCAAATTTTCTAGTTTGATGGTTCTTGGATACATTTTGATCATACTTTATTTAGATAATATGTTAATTTTATACTAAGCTATTGGAGTAAAAAAACAACTTTTATTACCTTCCCTATAATACAACTAATATTATTTGAATAGAAAATGAATCTAATAATTTTAAGGTAATCTTTGAGTACAAATTTAACCAGGTAAATGGAAATTTGCTTAGTCAGCAGGTTTGCTGCGGCGGGAGTATTTTATATTTCTTTCTGTACCGGTATAGTTATTATTTTAGGGAAGTAGGTACTGAATATAATATTTAATTATAAGATCACAAATTAAGTTAAGCTATAGTGTAACATGACATACATTGAATGTTGATGGTACAAAGTTATCTGGATGAGCTAGTTTATGCTATTAAATAAAATTTGTATTAAGGAGTGTACACATTTTATTTTAACATATTTTAACATTATTAACATTATATTTACATACCATTTGCATCTTTTATATAGAAAGAAATAATCTCAAATCCAACCATTATTAACAAATAATTAATTACAGAACTGAAAGTGATAAATTGGTGTCAATAAAATATAAACTGTAAGTTCTAGATTTGAGCTTATCTGCAGTGCAGAGCCAGGGGCTGTCATAACTGACAGGGTCATTGATAGATTATTTTTACTGCTTGTTTTGAACTATGGATTAGAACTCATTATTTTTTGTGGCCTCAATCAGTAATTTCTAAACAATACTGGTTTCTAAAAAGAAATACCCCTGCTGCAGAAAACCTGCAGACTAAGTGAATTTCAATTTGTCTGTTTAGATTTTCACAAAAATAACATAAACAAGTAACATTATTTTCCATTTAAATGACAGCCCATTTAATGAGTAGGTACTTAGGTTTGTTAACACGGGGGCATGAAAAAGTGTTTCTTGTTTTAGTTCCGTATGAAATAAATATATTTGACAAATTTAATCAAAATATCAAACTACACCAGTTTCATTTGTATCCGTAAGAACAACACAGGAATTTCAAATAGTTTTTTTATTTCCTCTGGGACCAATCTTTAACGTACGAAATAGTTCCTCTCTTTAAGCTCTACATAAGGCTGAAATGAAAACTGGACTTTCTATGTTTTAAATGTAAACATTTAAAAAACCCCAATTTTTGAAACATTTTTCAAACCACTATTTAAAACCCTGTTCCCATGAACCGATCTTGCTGGTTTGCATTATCTTGTTCACAGACTACAGATACATAGAATACAAACATTTGGTCCCAGATCTAGGTCTTTAAATGTCATTTGGTTAAAGACCGTATACGGCTTAGAAAGTTCTTACAAAACGCAGAATTTTAAAATATTTACAAATAAATAACCTAGCAGCTTGAATGCTATTAATGCGGCGCCTGTCGATGGAAGGCGCAAGGCGGATGCGGATCGGGTTTTACGACCAGTGAGTGACTTAGTGAGGCAGGCAAGGCACCAACGGCCCTGGAGTCTTCCGTGCCGCGACGACCCGCGCATGTTAATGTCTGTATCAAAACATACCCAGCTGCACCTCAGCCAAATACCAATCACGCAGTTGCAGATTGTAACTCCTCAAGGTCTCCCCATTAGGTTCTATAAGGCTCTAGATATTGGATGAAAACTTAAACCAAAGATCCAAAGAGACTAAGCAATTCACCAACATTGCCATCCATGGCATTCCCATCCGAGAGCGGGAATACAACCCAAATAAAGCAATAGACTTTTTTTTTAAACAACATTTTGAACAAGAACTCAATTACAATAGCCAAAGTTGATGGACAAGACAAACCCACGACATACCGAGGAGACTACGGGCGTGGTATCGCGCCATAACTTCCCGGCAGATTGCAGATTAGGTACACAGAACACGCTATCAACATTTCACCCACGATCTTCGGGCAGTAAAAATACCGTTAGAGGTCTAAATAGTTAATCAGTGTGTTAAACGAGGATGGGGAATGGAGATGGAAGAACCGTGCGGAATTTCACCGATTTAATCCCAATGTTTTAATGGATAAAAACCATTTCATATTATAAACTGTTGGATTTAAGACCACGAGGACAAGATGATGAATTGTTAGAAAAAGCTTAGAAGATATGTTTTTAAAAATTTGTTAATTACAGTATTGTCTAAGTGTATAACGGCCAAATAGTAGAATGAGGTATCTAGTATAGTATACTGACGAAAGTTGTGAAAATCTGGTGTAACAAAGAAACGCTTAATAAAGACATTTTTATTTTATTTATGAATTAATGTTCAGACCTTTGCGAGTAATGTCATGGATTGTAAAACTATTAACCAAAACAAATAAAAACACGCTGTAAAATGAATTTAATTCCTTAATGGCCCTCCTATAAGGATGGTTTCACTAAGAGATATAGAACAGCAAAGGGAGGCATGCGAGAGTAAAAAGGAATATAGTACAGTAAAATGTACTTCTACTGTCAGTCTTCTAAAAAAGGAAGAGAGGACAAAATTAAGTTTCTAAAACAGTTATATAATTTCTCGCAGATAATCGGTCTGTTGACAGAAGATAGGCAGTTGTGTCAATTGTATGGAAACGACCAAACTTGTTTGAGCTTCTACTATCTACAGTGTTTGGACTCAACTGACGTCAAACGGACAAACTTTCTTCAAATCAACTTAAAAAACTAGTTGGCTGCAGAAAGTTCAATTAGATTAAGCAATATCCACGTTCAATCTTGTCAAAACAACACTGTTTCCTACATAGGCATCGCATCGTGTTGAATAGACTAGTTCTGTCTCTAGAGATGAAGAAATGATACCTTATCTTGTTCGATTTACTAGTTTATAACGCATCATCACACGCACTGAGATGCCATTGCTCGTGTCGCTCGGGTTACTGAGATAAGCGGGGCCGTTACAAGTGATAGTAATACAACATTACTGATAATAAACACACGTTTATATAGTAGAGCCCCCAGGAGTTCTTCACCAACCAGAAGTCTATGTAGACGCAACGGTCTAGTGACACTAATCACCAGGTTGACACTTTCCGACCATGTAATGATTATCCAATAACAATACAGGTTTTTGGCGTGAATGATAGTAGGCCTACAGTATGAAGGAATAGACAAGTGTTCCCTGTTTTCTCCAACTCAATTTGATTTATGACGATGGGAAGTGCATACATGATACAGAGACTAACACAATTAATTCAGCAACCCGCAACTACT